TATGGACTAAAATGGCATGCACAATGCACATGAGCTATATAGCATACACAATGCACACATACGAAGATGGACATACACAAAGGCATAATCAAAGCATACACAATGCAATGGTCAAACATGCAACAACATGACCCACATGGCATACACAATGCAAGGTGGACTTACACCAATATGAGTGGACCTCAGTCACACTCAAATCAGTGGCCATGTGATGAAAATGAGACAACCGAAATACATGCAAACATGCACGGATGCAAAGGATCGACCCCAAGGCACAACATGTAACTCTAACAAAGCATGGAAAGGGATGACATATGGCATATAATGACACAAATTCCAGCTTTGAAATAGCATATAAGATGGTCTCGAAACATGTAAACGACTCACACAATGCATGCTAGATGGCCCGGATACCGAAACTAGTAAAGTGCGTTACACTAGAGGCACACCAAGCAATGCACAAATGGAAAAACCAACCCTAAACAGACCCTAGGCAGGTCTGAAACAGTGGGGAAATTGCCTAAAATGATGGCTGGGAATGCAAAGAAATGAAGCCCATTCAATGGTCAGTAAATGAGGCATACAAGCCCAACTCTCAAACGCATTTAAAGAGTACAAAACAAGGGAATATGGCATTCACATAAGCTCTAAAATATGATGTATAATGGCCCTAAAACAAGAAAACATCTCAGTGTATGCATGTAGTGGACCTCAAAACTCAAAGCTAGGCAAGTGTATTGAACTACAAGCATGCAAAACAAACATCATTCGACCATGAGACCCAAAGACAGAGCTAGGGCAGTCCAAAATATGCACAAAATTAGTTTAAGGCAAGGCCAAAAAGTGCTAAAATCAAGGGTCAACAAAGCATGCAAAATAAGCTAGTGAACCATGATTTGCACTACAACTATATGAAGCACATGAGAGCTCATCAAACCAACCAAAAAAAGAAGTATTCCATGCCAAATAATGCCCAAAAACCTACTGAAACTCAGTCAATGCATGCAAGAATGATGTGCTCCTTTGGAAGGCCATGCAAGGGGTTGTTCCACACATGAAAGATGGATATACAAAATGGAAAAGCCACCTTTGGGCAGAGGTTATGAGGGTCCTAAAACCCACCAAAAAGGTCCTGCAATTAGTCTAGGAAGCATGCAAGTGAAAGCCCCTTTGAAAGGCCTTGAATAGGATTGTTCTACACATGCATAATAGACACTTTATATGGAAAAATGGGATCTGAACAGAGCCTATGCAGACCTTAAAACTCACCAAATAGGGCCTGAAATATTGCTTTGAAACATGCAAGTAGGAGCCCCTTTGGAAGGCCAACAATGCTAGTAAACAAATCAAGGGGTGAGAGGGTCACCCCTCTCTGATTTTAGGGCTCAAAAACACATGTTAGCTACTAAAAATCCGTTGGATTTCAGGGGCTAAATGGCCAAACCAAGGCCAACATAAATGCTCTAATGCATAGCCCTAAACATGAGGAAATGAAGCATGCAAAGGGGAAGATGACCCCAAACAGAAAAAATGTCTTAAACAAACATGTTTATAAGCTCAAAACAAAAATTTTTTCAGTTTATGACAAAACCCATAAATGCTTTCAAATAAGGCTAAAGAATGAAGCAAAATAAAGCTACAAAGAGGGAAATGGTGACTTACCCTTGTAGCTTAGCAATGCAGCAAGCTCTGGACCAAGAAAGTGAGCCCTCAACCTCTGAAAAACAGCTCCAAGGTACTTAGGATGGTAGTTGAGGTGTTGTGCTTAGAGGTTTAATGCAAATGGCCAAGAACCATGGAGCTATGGAGCTTGGATGTAGAGATATAGAGGGAGAGTATATGTATGCCTCAGCCAAAAAATGTTCAACCCTTGCAAATGGAGAGGAGAGCCTCTCTTATAGAAGAAGAGGTCCAAGGCTTATTGGAGAAGCCTCAAGTAAAGGGACCAAGCTTCTAAAAGAAGCTAAACCAAAAGGGACAAGCTTCTTGAGGAAGCTAGACCAAAGGGGTCAAGCTTCCTCAAGAAGCTTGACAAAAGGTCAAGCTTCTCTTAGAAGCTAAGCAAAAAGGGCCAAAGCTTCCTTAAGAAGACAAACGAAAGGGTTAAATCTCGGAGGATGGGGCAAATGCCTCCCAGCTGGCACAACTGTATTCAACTCAAGAAGGCCAAAAAGGAGATGGCTAGCCGACCAGTTCAACTGGTCGGCCGACTAGGGGTCAAAAGGGTCAACAAGAAAAGGTGGTCGGCCATGCCAAAAAGATGGCCTCCTAGGTGAATGCGACACAGTGGTGGTATGGGAGACCAGAAAATGTGGCTCAAAAGTGAGGGAGACCAAGGGGTCAAAATGGTCAAGCACCAAAGGTGGTCGGCCATACCAAATAGGTGGCCTCCTAGATGAATGCAAGACAATAGTGGTATGGGAGACCAGAAATTATGGCCCAAAAGTGAGGGAGACCACCTCTTTAACAAGAAAATCGGGCGACGAAAAGAAAAGTGGTCCCCAAAAAGAAAAGGTGGTCTCCCACCATACTACCACCTTTCTAACAATGAAACTAGGGTCCATGCCAAAAATAAACCCTAACCGATGCAAAACGAGGGTTCGGGGACCAAAACGCGCAGCCGGGGGCCCCGAAAACTGACTGTTAGGCGCCGGAAGTGGTTTGCGACCCCGAAGGTGGTCTCCCCGGCCACAGTGTCCCTTTAGGGAGAGGAAACAAGGTGTGTGCTAAAAACCGGAGCAAACAGAGGTAGTTAAGCGGTCCCGAACCGAGGCACACGGCCGACGGCTCGGAAAACCAAAAACTGGTCTCCAAACGGGAAAAATGGCCTACAACCATGAAACGTAGCCTACAGCCACTGAGAGATGGTCCATGTGATCTCTACCTCCCTTCAGGAAGACAAAACAGAGAAAACAGGACCTGGTTCACAAACCGAGGCCAGGCACGAAAAGGTTCCGAAGCTTGGAGGCAAGGCTCTCAGCCGAGACTTTGCAACCTTAGAACGAGCACAATATACAACATCACCGAGTGCTCAGTTGGTGACGTCTGAGTCTTAAGGTCGATCAAAAATGGAGTGTCTACAGAGGGCTAAAGTTTTTTAGCTCGGTTGGAGGGCTAAGGTTTTTTAGCTCGGTTGGAAGGCTAAAGCTTTTCTTAGCTCGGCTGGTAACAAGTAATCCCTATCATGCTGCGCAGATGGAATTAAGGGGCAATTGAGTGGGTAATTTCTGTATAAATTAGGTCGAGCTGGGTAATGGGCCATTCTGTGGGCCATAGTAAGGACTGAATAAAAGGGGCTTGAAGTTAGCCTGGTCCAAAGGAGCTTTGTTGTTAGCTCAGTCGGCATGGTCAGAGCGGCAGCAGTTAGCTCGGTCAAACCAGATTGAGCCGAGGTATTGTAGGCCTTTACTTAGGTCCTTGTTGTTGAATAGCTCGGTCGAGGCACGCTATGGATAACGTGGTTTCAACAGGCAACCAAGGTACAACCGTATGAAAACTTAGCTAGCTTGGCGTTGTGCATTGGAGCGCCAAACTTGGTTAGCTCAGTATTAAATGAAAAGCCCAGTTGGAGTGTCAAATCGAGGCGCACGCAGTGAAAGGAAGAACCGAGCTAGTTAGAGCTCGGTCTAGTCTGCGGCTTTAGCATGGCCATGTTATCTCGGTCGTATTGACATCCAACCTCGGTAGAACCATCTCACTTGGTTTAAGCAGTAAGGGGGGTGTTGAAGGATAAACATTATCTTTCAGGAATGTGATTCCTAGGAGGACTCTACATGGAGGAGTAAGAGTCCTACTTGGATTGTGCCACGCAGAACTTGTAAAAACTCACAACATCACTTATGGAGAGGTAACACAACTTCGATTCTCGAATACACAGAGCTTTTGGCTATTTGTCTATTTTGTTGACTTAGGCATCGGAGAGGTATCCGGCACACACCCGCCGACTAGCTCACATTTGTGTTTTCAGGGAGTAAAGCGACGATGTTTAGCGGAGCGCGGACTTGATCAACAGGATTATACGAGAAGATTATTTCTTGCTCGTACAGTTAGGCATTTACATGATAAGATTTGACGTTATATATGCACATGTCAAAATAACAGGACTTGATAATATTTGTATTTTTTATTTCATTTCTAAATTTACATCATTTCTTGCTATAGGAATTTTTTTTTTTTATTATTTCAAAGTTATAAACAATAACCAACCTAGCTCATCACAACCAAGAATATATTTGGCAAGCATAATGCCATGAACACATATGAGCAAAGGAGGACATTTAATTAATTGGTATTTAAGATATGATTATGAATGCTTCACAACATCAATAATGTACACCATCAACAATTCCAAAGTTCATCGAAATATACACATTACCAACATATGTATCCGTTAATACATATCAAATATTTTCCCTTTTGATGAATTGAAATAAAATTCAATGTGGATCAGGCAATTATTGATACATTTTTACTGCTATAAAACTCTTTTTGCATATGGTTATTTTTAAAAAAATTCACTATTTATTTTTGATATGTGTGGCTTGATATTTCTAGTACCGTTACACCACAAGTAGTACCAATTCTTTTTAATACCATTACTTAAAATCTTACCAACAGTCTTAATTGCCATCGCAATTTACAATGATAAACTGACTTGCTTGATTGTAGTAAGACATTTTTTAACATAAAAAAATATATGAAAAGATCATTAACAAGTAAAACAATTTCTTAGAATCATTTAAATATATAAAATTCAAGAGAGCAAGACAAACAACCATACATTTTAAAATTAAAAACACACTATGCATTAGATAGAAAGGACTAAGGGGTTGGTTGCATGGATGCGAGTAGCAGTAGTAGGGGTATTGTTATACTTCCGAATCTCTCTCGAAGCATATCGTCTTCCTGTACCATTAATTTCATGCTGTTAATGAAAATTTTCTTTACTGATAAAAAAAAAGATAGAAAGGACTAAAAGGGTTTTTCACATGAAACTAGGATCTCTCTCATGGGAAAAAAAAACTAGACCACATAAGATTGTGGTTGCCTCCAAATGGCACCATCATTTTATCCCCATCAAAACCCATATTCTCATAATGTGGATTGTTCATCCATTCATTGAACCCGAGTGACCTTTTCATAGCATCCATGGCCAAATCAACACCCAATAACTTCTCTTGTTGCGGAGTTTTCTTCAACAATTCAATCTTCCTTCCAATTTCCTTCAAATTTTTATCTATCAACCAATTAAGATCACATTGATCCACCATGGACAAGTTTTGGAGCCCTCTCCCACTCAAACACTGGTACATGACTTCTGTCATCTCCTTCTCTCGATTATCCTTGAGTTTTTTCTTGAGTTGTTCATTCGCTTTCGCTATCCTTTGTCTAATGAAGCTTTCTTGGGTCATTATTTTGTTAAGTTGTTCCATCTCGAGCATTCTCCCAAACTTTGCCAGCACACGTTGGACTCCCAAGTTGTTTGGCCAAACCTCAGGTTGAGACTCGTATGGACTCTGTATAATCGCGCATGCATCAATGCCACATAGAGTGCTTAGCTCGCTCACCTTCTTCATCATACCCTTCTTCCTTCTATTGAATGTTGCTTTTCTTGCTGAGTCGTTGGTGATGAATGCAAGCTTCACCTTCTTTCTAGGCATGGCTAATTAGCTAGACTAAAGAGGCAAAAAATTAGAAAAATATGGTAGTTTGCAAAACCTTTGTGTGGTCTCTCAGTCCCAATGTCCAATGATATATATAAACTTATAGAGATACCAAAATTAATAGTTGCTGGACATAATATTGAATGGGAAGATTTGGGTTATAAATTATATTTTTCCGTTATGAAAATTTCAATTCTACGTCCTACCAAAATTAATAGTTGCTGGACACAATATTGAATGGGAAGATCCTGGGTTATAAATTATATCTTTCCATTATGAAAATTTCAATTCAATGTCCTAATTAACCCAGTTGACAGTTTCTTACTTTTGGCTTAGCCACTTGAACTTTATGGTAGCCAATCTCTTGATTGCATTCATATATATTATCTATACACGCGTCTTAAGTTTCGTTATATATTCATAATGCCCTTTGCTCATATGTGTTCTTGGCATTATGCTTGCCAAATATATTCTTAGTTGTTATGAGCTAGGCTGGTTATTGTTTATAACTTTGAAATGATCCAAAAAAAAAAATATTCCTATAACAAGAAATGATGTAATTTTAGAAATGAAATGAAAAATACAAATATTATCAAGTCCTGTTATTTCTACATGTGCATATATAACGTCAAATCTTATCATGTAAATGCCTACCAAACACTAAATAAACTCACCCTTGAATACCCTGTAAATATACTGATTGAGTATTTGATTTGGTAACAGTATACTATCAATAGGAAAAATGCTTAAAACGTTAAAGCATCACTCCTAAATTTAATTTTAATGACAGAAAATATTTAAAATACTAAAATATCACTCCCAAATTTAATTCTAATGACATAATGAGATCTTCCATATATAAAATTGGCAGTAAATGGGACATTTATTGAAAGCATACTCACCTTCTGGGTAGATTATCTGTTAAAAAAAAATTCAAATTGATTTAAAATTAAAATTATATGATTTCATCATTTAAAAAAAACGAAATAAATAAACAATTTATATTTAAAATCTGAATGCATACCAAATATATTATTTAATTTCGCCAATGTGTTGGTTTAGGGGATCTTACCTTCTAATTCATCGTATATTGTCACCAATGTGCTCTTAAAAATACATGTTAAAAAAAATTATATATTTTTTATGTTGCTAACTTTTATGTAAAATATACCATCCTTTTAAGTTTTTTAATATGTGCGCTGACACTATACATTAATAAAATCCTTCAAAATGTGATAACCAGATTTAATCACGGTGGCAATGCTATAATTACAAAGACAGCTTTTCATGAAAAAAAATTATTTAATGTTTTTGGAGCATTCTGCCAATTTGTTTATTGGTGATATTTTTCAATAAATTTTTTTAAACAAATAATTATTAGAGTATTGTTATTCACGCTAAAAAATTAGATGCCCTTTTTAGATCTAGTGATGTGTCAACAAAATAATTGGTTGATAATTAAATATTATCTAATTATCAACCAATCATCTTGTTGACGTATCACTGAATTTAGAAAGTGAGTCTAAAAAGTAGATTTGTGTATCATTTTTTAATTATTATGGCCTCTTTGGGTACACAAAAAAGTCATGAGCTTATTGGTTTATTTAGGTTGCATCACCTCTCCATTTTTCTGCATGTTTATTCATAAAAAGTAAAAAAAAAAAAGCCAACTTATAAATCATATCCAAGACAACACACTAGTTACGAATTATGAATCATATTTATTTATTAATGAATCATGTTTCAATTTTTAGTAATTAATATATCATTCTATAAGTATTTATAAAATTTAAATAAAAAATCAACCACTTATAATTTTCACATCATATTTTAATACAAATAAATTAAAATTTACAAACAAACGCCCAAATATTTTAATTATTTGTCATTTTGATAGATTTATGGATTGTTTAGATGTGCCCTTGGTTTGAGCACTGCATTTCTAGAGAATTGGACAACCAACCTCATGAAATTATACATTGCAGTTCTTTTTTTTTTTAGTAAGTACTTATTACATAAAAATATGAATATATAACGAAACTTAAGACACATGTATAAATAATATATATGGATGCAATCAAGAGATTGGCTACTATAAAGTCCAAGTAACTAAACCAAAAGTAAGAAACTCTCTCAACCCAAATTTTCATAACGGTAGAAAGATTATTTATAACTCTTAAACACAAAATTTGCTATGAAAATATTGGAGGGGGGAGGAGGTGCTCCTCTTAGAATTATAATTATTATTAGATCTTTCATATATAAAATTAGTAGTAAATGAGACATTTATTGAAAGCATACTCACCTTTTGGGTTGATTATCTGTTAAAGAAAAATTCAAATTCATTTAAAATTAAAATTATATGATTTCATCATTTAAAAAAAAACAAAATAAATAAACAGTTTTATATTTAAAATCTGAATGCATACCAAATATACTACTTAATTTCACCAATGTGTTGGTTCAAGGGCCCTTACCTTCTAATTCATCGTATATTGTCAGTGATTGATTAACGATACGTTATTTAGTATTTAAAATTAAATTTTATTAATGTGTGCTCTTAAAAACACATGTTAAAAAAATTTATATATTTTTTATGTTGCTTACTTTTATGTAAAATGTACCATCCTTTTAAGTTTTTTAATATATGCGCTGACAATAAAATCCTTCAAAATGTGATAACCAAATTTAATCACGGTGGCAATGCTATAATTACAAAGACAGTTTTTCATAAAAAAAATTATTTTAATGATTTTGGAGCATTCTACCAATTTATTTATTGGTGATATTTTTCAATAAATTTTTTTAAACAAATAATTATTAGAGTATTGTTATCCTGGCCCAAAAATTAGATTCCCTTTTTAGATCTAGTGATGTGTCAACAAAATAATTGGTTGATAATTAAATATTATCTAATTATCAACCAATCTTCTTGTTGACATATCATTGAATTTAAAAAGTGAGTCTAAAAAGTGGGCTTGTATATCATTTTTTAATTATTAAGGCCTCTTTGTGTACACAAAAAAGTCATGAGCTTATTGGCTTATTTAGGTTGCATCACCTCTCTATTTTTCTGCATGTTTATTCATAAAAAGTAAAAAAAAAAATTCAATTTATAAGCCATATGCAAGACAACAGATTAGTTACGAATCTATCTTATGAATAAGATTTATTTATTAATGAATAATGTTTCAATTTTTAGTAATTAATATATCATTTTATCAGTATTTATAAAATTTAAATAAAAAATCAACCACTTATAATTTTCACATCATATTTTAATACAAATAAATTAAAATTTAAAAACAAACTCCAAAATATTTTAATCATTTATCATTTTGATAGATTTATGGGTTGTTTAGATATGCCCTTGGTTTGAGCACTCCATTTCTAGAGAATAGGACAACCAACCGCATGAAATTATACATTGCAGCTCTTTGCTTCACAACATCAGTAATGTACGCCATCAACAATTCCAAATTTCATCTAAATATACACATTACCAATATGTATCCGTTAATACATATCAAATATTTTTCCTTTTGATGAATTGAAATAAAAATTCAATGTGGAACGGGCAATTATTGATTCATAACGAATCTAGTCGATTCCCAATTGGTATAGGCAGTTTTACTGCTATAAAACTCTTTTCGATTATTTTTTTAAAAATCCACTATTTATTTTTGATATGTATAGCTTGTTATTTCTAGTACCGTTACACCACAAGTTTTAACAATTCATTTTAATACTATTACTTAAAACTTTACTGACAGTCTTGTCATCCCAATTTACAAAGATAAATTGACTTACTTGATTGGAGGACGAAATTTTTTAACATAAAAAAAAATATATGAAAAGATCATTAACAAGTGAAACAATTTCTTAGAATCATTAAAATATATAAAATTCAAAAGAGTAAGACAAATAACCATACATTTTAAAATTAAAAACACACTATACATTAAATAGAAAGGACTAAAAGAGTTTTTCACATGAAACTAAGATCTCTCTCGTGGAAAAAAAGAACTAGACCACATAACATTGTGGTGGTCTCTAAATCGCACCATCATTTCATCCCCACCAAAACCCATATTCTCATAAAGTGGATTGTTCATCCATTCATTGAACCCGTGTGACCTTTTCATAGCATCCATGGCAAATCAACGCCCAATAACTTCTCTTCCTTTCTATGCATGCCATTGCCAACACTACAACAAAAATATACTTTAGTGGCACTACATTAGTGGCATATTTTTAGAAAATGTCACAAAAAATGATATTTAGTGGCACGTTTTTGAAAAATGTCACAAAACAACAAACATAAAAGACTCTAGTGACATTTCAATGAACAAGTGTCACAAAACTACAACAAAAACATACTTTAGTGGCACTACACTAGTGGCATATTTTTAAAAAATGCCACAAAAATGATATTTAGTGGCACGTTGTTGAAAAATGCCACAAAATGACAAATATAAAAGGCTCTAGTGACATTTTAATGAACAAGTGTCACAACACTACAACAAAAACATATTTTAGTGACACCATACTAGTGGCATGTTCTTAAAAAATGTTACAAAAAGAATATTGGGTGGCATTTTTTAGAAAAATGCCATAGAGCCACATACATACAAGGCTCTAGTGGCATTTCAATTAAAAAAAGTGTCACTTCACTACAACAACAATGTCACTACAACAAATTTACACTTTAGTGACACTACACTAGTAGCATGTTTTTAGAAAATGCCACAAAAATAAAAATTGGCATTAAATGTTTTAGAAAAATGCCACAGAACCACAAAACATATAAGGCTCTAGTGGCATTTCAATAAAGAAATGTCACATCAATTTTATGACATTTTATAAAATAATGACACAAAAAATTATGTTCGTGACATTTACCAACAGATGCCACTAAACTTTAGTTGCAATGGCATTTTTTAAAAAATGTCAGGACACTAGGTAGGTGCAAATTACTTTTTATGGAACTTAGGTGAAAAGTGACATAAAAAAATATTTTATAGTATTTTGAAAAATGCCACTAAGCCAAAAATTTTCCAAGCTTATAATGATATTTTTGAAAAAACAAAAAATGTCAATATATTTTCTAAATTTTTAAAATGCAGTAAATGATTACAAATAAATGAATTAAACTCAATATACACTACAGGAAAAAGCATATTCGGCTACTAAATTTCCTGACCAAAAAAAATTTGGTCGCTGAAAGTATAGCTTTCTTAGTTGCCAAAAGTAAAGCTTTTTGGCAACTAAAAAAATTTAGTAGCCAAAAGTCCACAATTGGCGACTAAAAATAAGTTTGGTCACTGATTATATGGGTTTTAGTGAAAAAAATTTTTAGTAGCCCAAAATAAAGCTTTTTGGCGACTAAAAAAATTTAGTAGCCAAAAGTCCACAATTGG